CTTCGATAGTCATGTTGAATGTTTCAACAATTTTCTCAAATAGAATGGAACTTTTCACTGTTTCACGTTTGTAAAAATCTATGACCACGAGAAGCAGTGTCAATTAAATATCTTTGTTGGTTTTTGAATAGGTCTCTCACGAGAAGAAGTGTTACAAGAGATCCTCGCTTTCTTGATTGCTGGCTTCGAAACGACATCTACCGCGTTGGCCTGGTTCATTCATGCAATGAGCAAGTATCCTGATGTACAACGCAAGATCAAGAAAGAGCTGATGAGTGTTGGTGATAATCAGAGCTTAACATTACATGAACTTGATTCTTTAGTCTATTTGGATTGTGTTATCAATGAAACGCTGCGCTTTTATCCAGTTGTTCAGGGAATCTTCCGTACGTTGACAGTTGATGATCGTCTCCCTGAAAATAATGTTCAATTGTATAAAGGTGATACAGTTGTCATTCCATTTAACACTCTTGCACATGATCCTCGATACTGGTCAATCGATCCTGAACGTTTTGCTCCAGAGAGATTTTTAGACGAGGATAAAAATCATCATCCATGCGTATTCATGCCATTTGGTGGTGGTCATCGCCAATGTATTGGACAAGGTTTAGCACGGTTTGAACTTAAAGTGATTATTGCAAGAATGTTACAACAAGTTACATTTGGCGATGGTGGACCGAAAGTTAATTCAGGTGGATTTGTAACAGGTCTCACTATTACACCGAAAAATGTTGGTGTTACCATCGAGTTTCCTTGATCAAAATGACTTCACGAGTTTTCAATTTATTTTCGAACATTCTAACTAATTTAGCGTTATATTTAATCATTACTCATAAATTATGGATTTTTTTTCCTAATAAAAAAAAAAGAAAAGAATATCAGTAATAATTATCTAGATGAAAAATTAAAAGCTTGTTGTTGTTCATCCAAGTTGAAAACACGAAAGTCTCACAGACACGCATCATTGAGAGTCGACACATACAGAAAAATATTTTTTCTCTTTAAGCAATTCTCATTTACAATCGATGAAAGTTTATTCACAATATTCTCGATAATTTAATACAAGATTTAGTCGATGCAATGTAAATTTTCCAACATTCGCTCACCTATTCTCCTATTATATATTAAAAAGTCGTCTTACGTTTTAATATATTTTCATTTTGATTTATATTGAATCATAAAAAATTACGTTCACAACTCTTCATTATATTGCTAGAGTAACCTAAATAATTCTATCGATTGTTTAAACGAACTCAATAGTTGAAACGGCTATTAACTGTGACAAAATGGTATCAGTAAGCTAAAACATAGGTAGAATTAGAGGTGATCCTTTACCTTTATTTTCTAAAGATAAATGATTGGAAAAAAAAGAGTATCATTTATTTTTTAAAGATAAAGGAAAGTAAAGATAATGGGTCACCTCTAGTCTATAGTTAAATACACTTTACTAGAATTTTGATCTCAGGCATGGTAAATACCAGCAACTGTAATGATGGTATTTCAACCTAGAGTTCTGCCTATAAGTAGATCTTATTATCCGTAGAAATTTCTGAAAATTTTAGCTCTAAATAATATTTCTTTCCTGAGATACTGAAGTCTCAAAAAAAAATAGTAAATTCTAGTATCTTTCGTGAAATATGAGTGATTTTTGAGGATTCTGTGTCTTGGCAAAAGAATATTATTTCCAGGACATTCTACTGATTATTAGTCCTGCCTATCGACAAAATATGAAGTCGATATATATGGTCATTCGAATTATTGGTAGTTACTATGTCTAAGGCTAATACTCCAGTAAAATACTTATAACACCGAACAGAAGGCCTAGAGACACTTCTCGTTTTGACGTATTCCATATTACACTCAGTGTAGATGTGTGATGAGTGTTGGTATTTCTTTTTCTCACATCCACATGTGTTACTACACATATTGACGGTTATCAAAATACAAACTTCTCTTACCGTTGTCATATAATCACTTATTACTTTCTTCTTTATTTTAATCAATCATATTTTTTGACAAAAACAACAAAAAATACAAGCAGGCAAAGTTAAAAAGATGTTTTCCTATATCGAGAAATATTATTTGTGCTTAAATTTAACGTTTGAATTCACACTTGAGTTGTAATAATTCCCGTTCATGTTTACTGGATATTAAATAAAAATGAGTCTGTTTAAAAAAGAGATCTCTATCAAAATTATCTTTAATTTCTTCTGCTCCTTCTTGAATCCAAATTAACATTTTAACATTGAGTCGTTTCAAGTTTGGACAGACAACTTTCAAGAGTTCTTGCCAAATATGACTCTGCAAAGTTTTTTCATTTGTAATACCTGATAAATGAAGTTTTTGTAAATTAGGCATAGAACGTATGAAAACAAGGATATCTTTCATTTCAATAGTATACCAGGTGAGATCAAAAATTTCAATAGAAGGAAAATTCACATTCGATACGATTGGTGGAATATTTTGAAGATAATGCCGGTTATTAATATTTTGATCCTCATTAACATTTATCATAACACGTAAAATACGCAAATGAAATAAATGAACGATGAATCCTTGCAACTTTTTCCATGAACATGGTGTACGTAAAACAAGTTCTTCAATCGAGCATGTGTGTTCATGAGATATTTGTGGTATATTCAAATAGCCACCACGGAAATCTAATTCTAGATATTTCAGAAAAGGTAAACGACATATATATGTTAAAGATTCTTGACTTAATTGTGATTCATTATGAGAATAAATCAAAGTGATACATTTTAGTAGAGGTAATATCGAGAGTTGAGTTGAAAGTATCGTATCAATATAAACATCTACCAATGTAATTGATTGAATGTTTAAGAAATCTTCCAATCCGATTTGAATTGTTGTCATACATAAACTAATAACTTGATATTGATCGACGAGAGAAAGAAGTGTAGCAGTTAGAAGATCATCATTAGTTAGACAAAGTTGAAATTTCATGCGACTTTCGCGAAGAATATCACTGATATTAGGAAGAACATCCGGATAAAATAAATGAAAAAGTTGATCGATTGAGAAGTAACGAAATATATCTAAGAGAATATCGGGACAGAGATCCCAAAATGTTGTCAACATTATCTAAAACATCAGATACCGAATTTCGAGAAATCGATCACAGATTCGGATGCGGTGAATCAGATAACCATTGACCAAACTATATACAATACATATAGGGGTGTCTATTTATATTTACTTTCAATTCAATTTCTGCGTAAATTAAATTATCAATAATTTATATTTAAAAAAACAGAAATCATTATTATCTATATTTATAATAAGTGTAATTTTTGAAAATTTATATTTCTTTTAAATACAAATTATTGATAATTAATGTTTATTTTTAATTAACAGGAAGATAACACCCTTAAATACATGATGACACGTGACTGAGCACGTGTCAACAAATATACAAAGACATAAAAAGACAAAAAAAACAACATACTTTATCTCTTATGATCTTCCTTTCAGTGTAGGAAATAAGTTGAGAATGTCTAAACTTAAGCTAACGTGGTTTTTCAAGAAAAAGAATGTGTTTAAAATATACGATGCAATAATAAAAGTAAAAATCATAGTTTTTGAAGAGTGTCGTGGTGTTGAATTTTGTTTGATTATCTGATGAAATGTTTCTTTGATAAGTGGAATATAAAGTATACTTACTTACTAAATGATATTACAATATACGAATTTTATTTTATGTGTATTGACAATTGGGTGTGCTTTTTATTTATCGATGACGAAATTGCTTGGTTTCTTCCAACTTAATTTTGTTTATGTGCATACGTAGAACATAATATTTTGACGAAGTAAGCAGTGTTTTTAATGTCACCTGTTCTTTATTTCACCTGCTCGCTTTCTTAACCATACTTTTCTCGCACACCTCTTCTTTCTCTCTTTGCTAAAACATTTCTTTAAAAAGAAAATATCAATCTGATACTGTTACAATAACCAATGGTGCATTACATGTAAGGATGCAAGTGTTGGTATTGGTATGGGTGTGCATGAACAGAAGGCAGTCATACACACTCACATCCTGAATATTGTTTATGAGTGGTCTGTCTCTGATTTTTCTTTCATGTAATTAAATATGTAATAAACAATAAATTTACGATTACAAATATTCTGTTTTAGTATTTGACTTCTGAAGACATTTTTATATTGGATATTTGCAGTATACATTGACATCGTTTTATTTGAAAATTTCAAATAATTCCTTCCCGTTCTTTTTAAGTTCATCTATTACCGGAGGGGGGGGGGGGGGGGGTGGTCTTTCACACTACATCGACATCCATCCCACACTCACACTCACATTCTGTTCTTTTTAATGAGCCACAAGTTGATCAAATATATATATAGCATTTTTTTCATTTTCTATGATTCAATCCTAAGTGTGTTATATTTCTCTTGAAAATGATGTCTAAAAACATCGAAAGCTCGACTCCTAATTAAGGATATAAATTTCTATTGTATTTTTTTTTATTCACTTACTAAATACTTAATAAAATGTTAATTGCTGCTGTAAAATCGATTTCATACATTGGAAATACTTGTGTATTTTATGGTTAAGATCCCATGGCAATATCCATACATGATACGAATGAGTGTGAGTGTGGATGAGGAATAGTGTAATACATCCATACACATCGTAACGATGAGTCATGCACCGCCACTGTTTCATTCCTAGACGCAATGTGTTCGCGGAAACTGATATGGCATTCATTGCATCGCGATCTTCACGGTATTTTTTCCAATGATCGGATGTCATATTGGCTCTTTTTTCATGTTTTTGATTGCGATCGCAGTTGTTAAAAAATAGGCGACATTAGTTCTCTTGTCTTCTAACCGTTCTTTCAATGACTTCTTTCTCTTTTAATTCTGACAAAAAAAAAACGATACTCATGACTCATATTTTGTTGGAACAAGGAAGAACAAAAATAGAGTATGCAAGAAAAAGAGGAAAGAAGAAAATCAGGCAGAGTAGAATACCAGATTACAATTTTTAAATTGGGTTTTTCTCCTAACAAGAATCAACGAATAGTATATATTATAACATCACTGGTAAAATTCATTTAGCATAAACATACTAATCGTAGTCTGTCACAACTTTTGAACAGTTGTATTCTTGATACGAACATACAGCAGAAATGTCTCATACAACAAATACCAATCCAAATGAACAACAGGTATGTTCAGTACAGTTCAGCGCTCGATGGGAAGTTATTTTGGATATCGTCGATAGTAAAGAATATTTTTCAATCAAACATTCGTTTTTAATTAGTTCATATAAAAATGAGAGTTATCTCCTTCTGGCACATTGCATGAATCGATTTTCAAAAGTGATTATCGATAGTTGAGTTTGATATTTTTTTAAGGTGGACGACTGTTGCATCATGTGTCTGAAGTCATTCGGCGTCATTCACGAATGCATACCGCGCAAATGTATCAATGAAAAATGTGGCCGACAGTTCTGTACTCAATGTATAGAGCACATACAAATCTACAACGGTGATGGTCGCTCTTTTCAATGTATGTACTGTTTGCACACGTACCCGCCCGGACATGTACCAATGGAAGATGATCGGCTTAAGAAAAAATTGTGGAATGATACGGTTATCAAGTGTGGTATTAAACGCACACAGGATTTACTATCGACGAAATATAATCATGATGAACTGATATTCGACATTGACTGTCGACGACGTCATTTGAAGAATCTCATTTCAACCCTGAAACGTCTGGATAGAACGAGACAAATACAAGAAACAATGATAGAAGCAGAAAACATGGCTAATAAACTTTCACAAATTGCACAGGATTTACAAAATCATCCGAACGAAAATATTATTCTGAATAAGATGGCTTACAGACAAGCTATTTCATTGCCCGATATTGATGATGATATTGGTTCGCTCTATATAGATCTGTGCGAGCGCTTATTCGTCGAAATATCGTATGCTGAATTTTGCAGTATCTTTCCGAATACCAGTGATAAAATGGACGAATGGATATGCCAACAAGACACCGGAGATCGTTTTCAACCGAAAATTTTCAATTTGATCAAGGCAGTCGAACAAGATCTTATTAATCGCTGGTCAAATCCTCGTTTTCTACCACGTACTAAAATTGGAGTTATTGGTTATACAAGTGCAGGCAAAAGTTGTGTGGTAAATCGACTTCTCGGTGTGAGTTGTCTGACCGATGATGATGCAGCACCAGTGCGCACTATCAAAAGCACCTATTATCAATTACAATTCGATCGACAGGAACCACTCATTTATCCACCTAACCGAGACATAAAAATACCGGTTACATTTATTGATATTCAAGGTCTTGATAAAGACAGACCAACAGTCAATGATCAGATTGAAGCGGGTAATTATCTAGATGAAATTCGCAAAGCCGATTGTGATATTTATATATTAGTATTCGATGATCAGCTCCGCTATGAACAAGAAGGTTGGATTAATTATATCGAGCTGACATTGGGACGAAAATGCGTTTTAGTACGATCCAAAGTAGATATTTGCTATTTAAAGAAATTTCGCGAGCTTGCAAATATTCCTTTTGGTCGAAGTACACCAGAACAACGCAGCCAATATGATCAACGTATCATAGAGCAGATACGTTATGATAATCAAGTCGAATTACGACAAGTCTTTTTAACGGCGGCCGACTATGATTTGGCGAGTATAGATGCAGAAATGTTACTGAGTACTAATTCATTTGATCGTGACGAATTGTTCCACAAACTGAGTTATCTGGCATTCAACGCCTCCAGTCGTCGCATTAATTTACTGACTATGCGAGCTGTGGCTCGTGTGATCAACACGTGTTTTCGTCGTGGCTATGTATTAAATGTACTTAAGTACAAAATAGCTGCCGGAGTGGCAGCAATTATTCCTTTCGGTGATCAGTTGCCTCGCTATCTTTCAAGAAACAGTATCAAAGAAGCGTTTGGTATTAACGACGCTTTTTGTCAATATCTGACTCACTTCAATCTTATTATTCAGGATGGTGACCATTTGCAAACATCGGTATTCAAAGAATGTGTGAAGGTAAAGACGAAAACTGATTCCAAAGTAAGCGCACGAACAATAGTGACAGTGGCAGGGCATACAACAGCAATTGTTGGCTCACTTAGCGACGATATTATTCGTATAGCCGCGCCAGCTACCGCAACTGTGTCAAGAGTCGCAAGCGTCGCACTCACTGTGGTGACAGTCGGCATCGGTGTGGTCATTTCAGCTGGTGTTTGTGCTTGGTCAGCTGTCAGTAGTAGACAGCATATCTTCAGTTATGTCAATAGAATATGTGATGATCTCATTCTAGTGATCAATCCTTTAATTGCGTCGATCATTGAACGAGAAAATGAGAAGACAATTGGCAGCACATAATCGACAGCCTCGAAGTAAAATATATATATTTGAAATAATAAAAGACAATAACGACCTTCATACATAATCTTGAATTTTTCTAAAACATTGATTTGTATTAGAGAATTCCTTGTTTGGGCCATATAGTCTATTCTATAATTAAATATACGTTCGAATATTCTTGTCGCGTACAATGATTATTTAATATCTAGGCGTTTTTGAGTAGGTAGTAATCCAAAGGAGAAAAGACGGATTCCGTGATTCGCTTTTCTCCCTTGTAACAACATATGAAAAGCTTTTTCATTGATCATATAAAGAGTGCATACTAAGTGTTGATCTCATAATCAATATTATTTTCAACATGTTTATGTAATCAGGAAGGTTGATATTAATAAGATATGTAAGGTGTAAGTAATTCAAAACTTGAGTGAAATTATTTTCTTGGATATTTTTACATAGTTCGATAGAACTTGTCGAGCTCTACAAAACTGTCTATATTAAAATTTATTTTAGCCATTTTTCAGGGCAAGGGTGCAGGGTGTGAAATGTTAACGTAGCTGAAGGGAAGACTCGCATCTACACTCATTCATACACATACCCACACTGTGAACCTCTGAATGTGTTTCAGGTCACGAAAAAACAAGATGTAATATATGGCGAAATTGACTCATGGCGTATGATCAGGGCCGTGCCTAACTCGATTTCGATGGAAAAGTCTGCAATGCATTAGAGATGATAGAGCGGGCAGTTTAGTGTACGGTCTTAACTGCCCTCGCTCATGGTACTCACAATTGGCATGGAAATATCAATCAGAATCTTCTCTTCGTCATGCTCAAACTCACACCCTATTGATATTGAAAACTATATATGTATATATTCTTTTGTTTATTTCTTTTGTTCTTCTTTTTTCATAGTAGTATGGAGAGGACAAGACGATGATATGGGAAGAAGACGACACCTTGATTTCGTCATCCGTACGATTATCGAAAAAGAAGAACTAAAGAAATAAAGAAAAGAATATATAAATATACAATTTTCAACATCAATAGTGTGTGTAACAACAAGTTCTGAAGAAGGTCAATTCTGTATCGAAATATCAACAAATATATTTTTTAATTTTAATTTAATGTAATTTTTGTTGTATCAATTATATTTATTTATTTTATTGTTATTTAATTATTCAAAAATTTTTATGACATAAACTACTACATATAGGAAGAGAATCTCTTAAAATACAAGATCATATCAAAGCTTCAGAGTCGAGACGTATGGCATCTTGTATATCTTAGTGAGCTATATCTACCATAAAAAATTTCATGCATATGTCCTGTCTCTGAGTCGATCAAACGTTTGAAGTGAGTTTTCGCTGTAGTATCCTATTTTCGAATTTTGATTAGAAACTTTATTCACATAAAAATCTCTATTAGATCAGATTGCATAAAAAATTTCAGAGTTTTTGAGAGTTTAGCCTTTCTGAGATATGGAACTTTCAACAAGTACATGCTATTTATACTATCTATGTATACTGCAAAGGTCTATATCTACGACAGAGACTTAGTTCAAAAATTCTGAAATTTTTTATGCATTCTAATCTTATTGAAATGTTTATGTGACTAAGGTTTTAAGTCAAAATTTGAAAATATGGTCTTGTTGCAAATGTAACAGGCTATAAGTGCAAAGTCTCTTTCTACGATAAACCTAGTTGGTTGAAATCTACAAGATATACTAAGCCTTGGCTAAAAAGCGATACGACATCTGAAAATGTTTCCTTATAAGTCAATATAAAGTTTTAGACAAAACATTTGTTTGTATTTGTTAGTCTCAAATGCCGATTGCTATTTAGAGTTGACTAAAAGTTCTAAAAAACATTAAATAAAATCATTCTTTCTAACAATTTGTCAATTCTTTTTTTCTAAACTCGTTTAACTATCTTAGAAATCTCATGAACCAATGAGTTTTCATTTGTTTGATCAGTAGAATTATGCTTGATATAATCATTTATCCAAAAATCATACGGTGTAAGGTTTAGTAAAAACGATAGATGTGACATTATATTGATACCTTCTTGTATTAAATAATTGAATGACATCTGGATGAATAGAAGGCCGAACTTTTGTTATGAATTAATTTTATACTGTTTACATCTAATGAATAGTCTCTGATGATTCATCTTCATTCACTAAGCTTCCTTTAATTAACTTGCATCGAATCTATCTATGATTAACCTATGTCTAACCACCTGTAATAGTATTACATAATCATCATGATCCATCACGAAGTTTATCTAAATTTTCCATCTTTAGACAACCATGTATAATTCGTTCTATTGTATCATGAGAGAGAAAAGTCTCAACTATAATATCATCATAAATTAAATGTAGATCACCGTTAATAGCCTGTCGTACCAGTTGAATATTTATATCTATCAGCTCTATAAGTGGACGACTAGACCGAAGTCATCATTGACATTTTCTCTTCCTTCATGAAAAGGCGTCGATTATATCTTGCAACTGTTCTATACGACGCAGCGTTAGCTCCCAAATTAGTCTGAATTTTAATATAGTTTTGATTGTACTCGTTATCCATTGTTTAAAATTTTTTTTGTTGGACCTAGACTTTATCTAAAAAAATATTTGAACTAAACTATTAGATATTTTATTATAGACAAGACATTCGACTGTTTATTAATATAATAAACTCGTTAATGTTAATTGATTTATAAATTGACGGGAAGCAATTAATTTTAATTTCATTCTCGATTAAATTAATTCATCCAAAGCTTTATTACAAAAGTATAATAGTGACATCTCTCCTACATCAAAAGTTTACAAATCCGATGAAAAGTTCTTATCACTTCATTGAGTTCTTTTATCTAATCTTTTAACAATAACAAGCATTTATTCTTAACGTAGTTGAATTATTTATTTGAAATCTATCTATTTATTTATTCTTATTCTATATATATATTTATATCATAAGAAATTAGTAAGCATCGTCCTTATCATATTAAGGATCAGTGTTGCTTTTTACTTGTTTCATTCATTCATTCATTCATTCCTCGTGAGATGTGTTCGTATACTTTAAATGATTCATCAATATGAATGTCCTAGAAGAGAAAATTTTTAAAAAAAGCATAGATATTTATTCTTGATATTATATAGTTTCTTAAGTCCTTTTTTGTTTTGTTCTAGATGCCATTCTGGAAAAAGGATCCATCTAAAAAGGAATTGTACACAAATGTTACTGAAGGTTTACGACAAATCTATAAAACAAAATTATTACCACTTGAAGAAGCATATAGATTTCATGAATTTCATTCATCACAACTTGACGATAGTGATTTTGCAGCTAAACCAATGGTACTTCTTGTTGGACAATATTCAGTTGGTAAAACAACATTTATTCGTTATCTATTAAATGTAAATAAAATAAAATCTTTTCTTTGTATAAATTTTTGTTTTAATGAATTTTAGGAAGATTTTCCTGGTATTCGTATTGGACCAGGTAACAAAAAAAATAAAAATAAGAAATATTTATTTCTTGTGAATATCAATTTATTTTAAATAGAACCAACAACTGATTCATTTATTGCAATAATGCATAATGAAAATCCTGGTGTTGTACCTGGTAATGCACTAGTTGTCGATCCAACAAAACCATTTCGACCATTATCAAAATTTGGCAATGCTTTTCTAAATCGTTTTGTTTGTTCACAAATACGTAATGAAATTTTAGAAACAATTACATTTGTTGATACACCCGGTATATTAGCTGGAGAAAAACAACGTGTTGATCGTGGTTATGAATTTAGTCAAGTTCTTGAATGGTTTGCTGATCGTTGTGATCGAATTTTACTTTTATTTGATGTATCATCATTAGATATATCAGATGAATTAAAACGAGCTATTGAAGTTTTAAGACGAAATGATGATAAAATACGTATTGTATTAAATAAAGCAGATTCAGTTGATCAACAAGCATTAATGCGTGTTTATGGAGCTTTAATGTGGTCATTAGGAAAAGTACTTAATACACCAGAAGTATGTCGTGTTTATGTAGGATCATTTTGGTCAAAAGCATTAACTTTTGATACAAATCGACGTTTATTTGAATTGGAAACAAAAGATTTATTTAATGATTTAGGTAATTGATTCATTGTTAGAAAGAATATTTAATCTTTTTTTTTTGAAAAATTTCATTACACAAAAAATGAAATTAAAAATTACAATTCAGAGATTAAATCTAATTAATTAACTAGAAATTTAGTTGACTTGACTGACTTTACTAGTGAACATTCTTAAGACTATTGACATGCGATCAATGATAGTGAATAGTAAAAAAAAGTCTCTTTAGGTTTGGTTTTCCGGTCGTTGCATGTTGAATGATGGATGTTTTACTCGATTTTTTACCCTATATACACAGATTAGTAATGAGATTAAACGATCGAAATAGGCCTTATACTCACTAGAAACACTTCCAAGTTTGAGTCAGAATAAACATATCCGTGCTAGGATATTTTAAATTTCAGAGAAACACCTGTTTTAGGCTGAATTTCGAAAGAAGACTGTTTTGTATGACAAACTGATATTTCATTTTGGATACGTTTGAATTCTATGTTCATCGGACAAAATGCGAAGACTAGAAAACTAAATTAAAACAGACTTTTTCTTTTACATACTCATCATGGTGATAATCTCAAATAGTCGACAATGTTCTCACGTTAGTTAGAATTATTTTTTATTTTTAACTATAATAAAAATTATTAACAAATACAAATACTAATGATGAGTGGTTGAACATAACTGAATAATCATTTCATTATTTGGAAACATCACTATTCTGCAATCTCCTATTTTAAGTAAACAGAATTGTGAATAAATATTCAAATGTAATAACAATGATGTAAAAATATTATATGAACTTGATTCTTCTCGCAAAGTTTCTATTTCTCAAAAACAGATCAATCAATTGAAGTAGTTCTATTACATTCAAGATAAAGTAATACTTAAAAAAAATATATATACTTCACTCAGTTAAATATTACATGTCCTTGTCTTCAGTTATTGATAACAAATTACTTTGTTCAAATAAACTATACAGTGTGATAGTCTATAAGTTTATTTTCTTCGATTCAATTTCGATAACTAAGCAAATACTATTCGAATCTCAATTTGAAAAGAATTTAAATAAAAATTTTATTTATCATTTTTCAGAATCTTTACCAAGAACAGCAACTCTTCGAAAATTGAATGATTTAATTAAACGTGCACGATTGGCTAGAGTAATAAAAATTATTATTTCAAAATATTAACTATATATATATGTATTAAATCATAGGTACATGCATTAATTATCAGTGAATTAAAAGAACAAATGCCAAGTGTATTTGGTAAAGATTCAAAACGTCGAGATTTACTCAATGTAAGATTCTTTTGTTTTGTTAAATATATATTAAGTCTAAATAAATAAATCTTTAAGAATTTACATTTAATTTATGAAAAAATTGAACGTGAACAAAATATTCCAATGGGTGATTTTCCAAAATTAGATCGTATGCAAGAAATATTACGTAATATGGTTCGTTTTGAAAAAACTGCTGTTTTCTTTTTCTGTTCTAATTTAATTCTTTTTTTTTTCCTTCTTTCTTTCTTTCATTTAGGATTTTACAAAATTTCGACCACTTGATCGAAAAATACTTGAACGTGTAGATAGAATGTTATCTGATGATGTACCAAAATTAATGGGTATGATACCACAAGAAGAACAAGCTTATTTACAATTAAGTTCTCAATCATCGGGTGGACAAATGGCATCAGGAAATACAATATTTAGTGATCAAGACGAAACACCATTTGCAATTGGTGGTGTTGAAGGTATTAATGCTGGTATTGGTGAATGTGAATGGATTGTTGAACGATCAAGACATGAATATGATCAAACATTTCTTCAACTTTCACCACAAAATGGAAAAGTTACGGGTGCATCAGCTAAACAAGAAATGATTAGATCAAAACTTGTAAATTTTATATACAAAAAAAAAATATTTTTTTAATTTTTTAATTTTTCTAGCCAAATAATGTACTTGGTCGTATATGGAAATTAAGTGACATTGATAAAGATGGTATGCTTGATATTGATGAATGGGCTTTATCTCAACATCTTAGTAAGTATTAGATGATTGTATTCAATGTTACTGCATTTATCATAGATTTTATGTTAATCTTGTAAAATAATAGAAATGTCTATGTAGCATTTCTACTTAGAATTTTCCATGAGTACTAATTCTCATATAGTATTATTATGTATTGAAAGTAGGTCGTTCTTTTTTTTTTTATTCAAAACGAAAAGATTTTAGTAAATATCTTACAAGTGTTTAATACTTGTAATGAAAAGAAAAGTTAATTGTTAAATCTAACGATGCATAAAAAGAAAGTGAATAGCAAACAATTCATCTCCTACGTTTCCTTTTTCTTTACAAGCATATGTCTGTCTCGAACAGAGTTAGAATGTCTAACTGTTCTTAACTATCATATATCATAAAAGAAAACCAGCACATAATATTTATGAATCAATCATTGAATGAAACTAATTGCACTTTTTAATATTGAAATGAAATTTTTTTACATAAAATATTTAATTTTTTCTTTTAGTTAAACTTAAAGTAGATGGTCATGAATTACCAAATGTATTGCCTGATCATCTTATACCACCAAGCAAACGTCATTTAACGAAAAACACTAATAATATGAGTCCATCGTATGGAAATAGTGGAGTGTATCCAACACTTGGCAACACTTCTTATAGTGGTTATAATTGATTTCTTTTCTTTTTTTTTGTTGAGCGAATGAATATAAACATAAATGATTTTTTAAATAAATAAACAAATCCATTCGATTCTAGTTTTTTTTTAATCATTTTTTTGTAATTCAAATTTCTTTTTGTTTTTTTTTTTACTTGTATCTATTTATATTTGGTTGCAAGAATAAAATGAACACATATTCCAGTTATATACATAGACAGATGTTTGAGTAAATATACGAACAATAAAAAAAAAAAAAAAAAAGTAAAAATAAAACACATAGACGGATGACAACATTTATTCAATATATCTTTCATTTTTAATGTTATTATATTTCAAGTAACTAGTTAAATATGATATTTAAAGTTAGTTCCGGTAAAACTTTTGTTGATAAAAAAAAAAAAAAGAAAAAAACTTAGAGATAAAGATAACCAGCTGTAGACATATGCCTCTTTTATGTTCTCTGAGTTGGAAGAAGGAAAAAACAGAAACAGTGATAAGAATTATAACTCATATAAAATTTGACAACAAACATGACAGAACGACAAAATGAATGCTCGTACACCTGTTAGTGACAACGATCAATTATTAACAGAAATACGCAGACTACTCTATTTATCTAAACATTTGACAACACATAGATGGATTTCATTTGATCTCATTTCATTTCTCACTTTTTTCTCTTTATAAAACAAAGAAGACGCTTAGTCTCTCTCTCTCTCTCTCTTTCGCCTTTTCTTTTTTTTTTAACTACATTCATATTCTCATTTTATGCACTAGGGAAAAAAGTTTTTCTCTCCTCGTCGTCGACATTCTATCATAGACTAACCATCCATCGCTCTCTTGTTTTAACTGTTGAGTACGTGTCACTGTTGTGTAGATATTCTCTCACATTTTTTTAAAGACATCATAGAAAAATGAGAGAGAAAGAAAAAAAAAGTGAGAATAATAGACTAGATAGAATCAATGTCAAATTCATTTATTTAAAAGAAACAAAATGAAGTAGATAAAACCAATTGAAATAAAATTGAGTAAGTTTATTTATTTATATTAGTTTAATATATTACTAAATTGTTTGAAGATTTGAATACATCTTGTCAATGTAAGTACCTATATGCAAGTAAAGATATAAGAAGAAAAGAAGAAGAAAAAAAAAACGCGTTCAGAATGAAGATTAGACTCACACTAAGAAGAAGCCGTAAGAAAGAATGAGAAGAAAGAAGAGTGAAACGCTTGGTTCCCGTCATCGTTCACTAGAGCAAAGGGAAAAAAACGTCACATAAAAAAAGAAAGAAAAGAAAACGAAGACGAGTATTGATGATGAACTTTACACAGTACGATTATCGTGTTATACGACGGTTAGAAACAAACGAATAATAAGAAGAAAAAAAAAATCTTTTCTTTTCCCAACATAGTTTTTTTTTTCATAGTTGAACACTTTTTCATTTCAAGTAAGTGGAAAAAAAAACATAAGTTAATTATATGAATGTGCGCATGTAAAAAAGGAAATGAAGATAAACGCGATTCAGCCGTGACAATACTGACTATTTCTTTTTTATTAGATTGTTCTACCGTCTATCCAACTACCATCAGTAATGATTAATGACGAGTTAGTTTAAAAAGATGAAAATTTGCATAAATTCTACTTTTTCTTTCTCTCGTTTTCTTTTCCACATATACACATATTTCACTCTCGGTAACAAGCTGCTGTGGAGTCTCAATCAGCATCATTAACGTCTTTTCTCATGGGAGTAATGATAAGAAAATAAACTTACTTTATACGATTTAAATGTAAGCCAATGGTTTTATTTTAGTTCTAATAAAATGACGTTCATTTGGAAGACCTTTGATTTAGTGTTCTGAATATATAATAATTAACACTAAGTTCAATGTCTTCTACCTTTTACGTCTAATTATTCGACGATAATAAAATTTTTTTTTTTGGAATTTATTTATTATCAAAATTCTATTAAATATCCTATTGAAGATATTTAATATAATAAAATAATCGACATCAATGATTTATTAAAGTTAATAAAAAAAGAAAAAGTAAAATTTTAGCTAAAAAACAAAATATTTCATGATCAAGTATTTCCATTTCAAAATGATCTTGATGTTCAATGAGTCGATATATATATAATTTTAAATCAAATAAATACTTCATCAATAACGACTCTCTCTCGTTTAAGTTCTTTTTTTTTTTTGTACAAAAATTTTAATCGGCACCGTTTTGTTCTCTTCTTTTTAGCGACAAAAAAAAAGGGGGGGACAGAAATAACTTTCGATCTGTTCTGTCATTTTGATGTTATTGTTGCCATAGAAGAAGTTTTTTTTTTTTTTTTTTTATTATATCGATCACTTTTTTTCTTTTTTTACTTCATGTGTATATGCATGTCATAACAAAAATCATTCACATCTATATATTTCATTTTAAAAAATGGATGATGATCTGACAGGTAAAGAATAAAATATGAAATAAATCTATTATTGTACGAGTTATAGAATATCCTACACATCGAGTACGTTTACAACCATGTCAATTTTGTGAACGACAATTTAATGTTGAATCATTGGTAAGAATATGAAATATTATTATTTATTCAAATGTTCAATAGTAGAAAGAAAATGATTGAATTTTCTATTTTTATCCTATAGAAATTTTACGATAGGATCATTGAAAATAAAATAATAATAATAATAATAAATGAAATATGAATTTTTGTTTTTTTGTTTTTATATATTTTTCGATCATAGAATAAACATCAAGCTATTTGTCGAAAAGTTGTAAAGAAAGAACGAAGAGTATTTGATGCAGGTAAACAACGAGCTACTAATTCTGATGTACCATATAAAGCAACTAAAAGAACAGCACAGGTAAAAAATTTTATTTTTATTTTACTATTGTCAACATCTATATTTTACACATTAGGTTTATAATGGTGAAGTTCGAGCTAATGATGATAGAGTAAGAATAAAGAAGTAATTGTTGATGTTTTATCTTGTTAAAAATTATAGTCAAAATATGGATCGAAACCAAATTGGAGAGAAAAACATAGACAATTAATTCAATCTGTACGAGAAGCTCGTTCTGTGACTCGTGCTATGAAACAAGGAGGACCATTACCTGCTTTTCGACCAAGTGAAATTCCATCAGGTTAATTAATGTTATTCTTTTTCTTTTCTCTATATTATATATATTATTTATTAAGACTATGTTAATTGTCCATATTGCCATCGTAATTTTAATCGACATGCTGCTCAACGACATATACCATTGTAATAAGAATAATTTTTATCTTCATAGAAACATACATATTTATTTAGTTGTCAGACGCAACGTGAACGAAAACAAGTGCAACCTTCTAAACCTACTCAGCAATATGACAGGGTAGAGTTAATATTTATTAAATAAATAAATAAATATATTGGAAACGTTTTCCTATAGGGACGATCACTTTCACCACAAAAACCACCTCAACATCGACAACAACAGTCATATAGTACAAGTGCATATTCAGATTCACATAATGTTTATAGTAATGGTTACAAACATAGCAATTCAGCTCCGATGATTGTTCGACGAAATCCATATGAGTAGGCTTGTTAAACAAATGTTTTTTTTTATTTAAATTTTATTTTAATATTCTAGTCATCAACAACAACAACAACAACCACCACCACCACGTAAAGCACCTGGTGGTGGTGGTTGGAGTTTACGAAAAATATTTGGTTTCGATTCTGGAGCAGAACCAATGCCTCGATCTAATTATTATGCACCTGAAGTAAATTATTTTCCTATATTAAAAAGAAAAAAAAAAAAAAAAGAACATTTTTTATACAATAAGGATGAAGATTATTATCAACCATCGAATCGTCATAATATTCAACAACCGGTGCTTATGCGTACGGGACGTACAAATCAGAATACAAGTTTAAATGTACGTGCTCGTCAACGAAATGATGAAGTTAATTCATATGTACGCCGAGCATCACCGATTAAATTTGCTCCTTCTTCATATGGTGAAACAAGATATCAACATCCAAATAGTCAATATAATTCTATGAGACCAACAGCTGTTGGACGACCTCCACTACCACCAACAGCTATTCGATGTGGTGAATGTGGTAATATATTTAATATTGCATCAGCAAGATATTGTGCTCATTGTGGTTCGAGACGTTAAATATTGAAGAATATTTTTATGAAATAAATTTTATTTCGAAATAAAAATTTTATAAAGAATCATATTTAACTTTTACATATGAATCTTTTCTTTGTTAACAAATGAAATAATTATTCAACAATTTTTCTAATCAAATGAAAATGGTAGTTCATTAAATAAATCTTGATCGACTTGAATTAATTTTTGTTCAATTATTTGTAATTCATTATTATCAATAATATTATTATCTTGAGAAATATTAAATAATTGAGAAATTTTTTCATATTCATCTTCATTTATTATTATTACTTGTTGTACTATTTTTCTAAAAGCCATACAATATAAATTTTTTACTTTAATATATGATATTAAAGAAAAACCAATTGAATTAAGAGCTTGTCGCCAAGATTTTTGTCGATTTTCACGTAAAATTGAATCGGGTTCGACAATAAGTAATAAACCAAGACAAGTTAAAAGTTGATGAGCTATAAGACAAGCTGATAAACGTTGACGACATGTTGGTAAATAATCGAGAACAAGTGAAAATATAATAGCATCAAATGAATGAATAGATATTAATGGTGGTTGTGGAAGACGTAAAAAATCAATACGATGTACTGACTAAACTAATCTGAGAGTGAATTTTATAATTTCAAAAAACAAAAAAAAAACAATATTAAACTCACTTCATCAGCTGGTGCAATATCAATTGCTATTGTTTCCAGATCGTTAAAACTAGAAAATGCATTGTAACAACTCCTGTATAAAATTTAAAAACAAAAAAAAATAGTTTAATAAATTGCGAAAATAAAAAATTTTAGCCTTAACCCAACATCAAGTACACGTGGTCTAGTAATTCTTTGTCTTAAGATAAGATAAAAATAATAAGAATAACATAATATTAATATAATAATCCTACTGAATTCTTGTTTGACAACTTTCACAAATATCTGTATGAATCTGTTTTCGTTTATCTCGAGCACATTTTCTTTCAAGACCACTTATTTCATTTCCATTAAAATAATCTTTAATAGTTTCATAACACCATGTCAAACGTGTTTGACCATGAGATTTTTCTGCCCAATGATGTTCAGCAAGTTGACGCATTGATTTAGCATATTCATTTAATTTATCTATATTAGCTACATGAGTATTCCAGATTGTTTCAGCAGCTTCTGGTGCTAATAATAAAATAATAGATTCTCAAATTTAATATTATAATTCATACTTTGATTTACATCATGACGTAATTGTTGATGTACTTTTTTAATTGAATCAGCAAGATTCAATTGTTCGGAAGACATTTTTTTTTTAAGAATCAGATCTAATAATTAAACAAAAAGAAACTTATACTTCTATATTTTATTTATTGCTTTGAAAACAAGTGAAAAAAAAGAAAAAAAAACTATGGTAATGTAACATCAAACAATGAAGTATGACGTATATCAAAATTATCCTTATTAAAATCTGTAATTGGTGTCCATGAATGAAAAGTAACAGTCATGCTTGGTTGAAACATATGAAATCCATTTCGTGAAAAATAACCAGTTACATTAGCTGATATATCAAGCCATACAAATAAAGCTGGTCGATCAACAGTAATTGTTATATTAAAATCTGTTGGTCCTATCTGTTTAATACTTTCAATTTGAAGGTTAGGATTTAATAATTGATAATTTTTTGGTCGATTTAAAAATAAAGTTTGTCCTATTTGATGTTGATTATAATTTAATAAACAATGAATTATACATGGAGAATTATCTTGACAATCAACACGTTTCATTAATAATGAATAAGAATAATTCATAGTATTTTGTACACCAAGTGAATTAAATAAAATATTATTTCCAAATGATAAACGAGGAGACAATGTATCTAACCCATAAATCGAACATAATAAATCACCACGTGTATTATTGAGTAATTCATTAACAACATAAAATGAAACTTGAGCATTTTCATCTGTAACATTAGCTAAATAAGGTGTAAGCGTAGCAATAGGATAAACAGGTGCATACATATGACCAACATAATAATGACTCATTTTCCATTTTAATCCATATTCAATTGTTGCCCATGTTGGTGCTTGCCAAATATCATTTATTTGCCAATACATTAAGCCCATGGTATGACTAGAAAAAAAACAACAAAGAATAAAACATTTGTAGAAATAAAGGAAGTGGTATTTATACCCCCCCCCCCCGCAGATTTTTTTTCGCACAAATATTTTTTGGTTGTGAACAATATGAAGATGTAAAATTATTCAAGCAGATCTTAAACATTTTTAGTCTTAGCAAAAAAAAATCAATATTTTAGAGAACGGTCATTTATATAGAAAGTATTTAGAGGTTTCTGTAGTCGAAAGTTGATTTTCATGTAAAATGAGTACGATATTCAGAATCAGCATGAAAAATTACACTAGACAGTCTATTTTTCATTGTAAAATATTTTCCATGAAAATTCGACCCGTAGGAGACCAGGGGGAAAAATCCTATGGATAAAAGGTTGAGGGGGAGTAGGGATCAGATTTCCATGGAAAATATTTTACAATGAAAAATAGACTGTCTAATGTAATTTTTCATGCTGATTCTGAATACCATACTCATTCTGCATAAAAACCAACTTTCGACTACAGAAACCTCTAAATACTCCCTATTTTCTAGTACTTTCCTATATAAATGACTGTTCTCTAAAGTATTGAGTTTTTTTGCTAAGTTTAAAAATTTCCAAGGTCTGGTTGGGTAATTTTACATCTTCATACTGCTCATAACCAAAAAATATTTGTGCGAAAAAAAACCTACGAGGAGGGGGAGGGGGGTATAAGCACCACTTCCTTTACCCTTGACTTGTTTTTGGATTAATCATATCTATTGATGAATGAAGTCGACAAAGATCACTTATACTTTTTAATGTCATAGCTTGATTTATTTGACTTAAATAAATTAATTGAGCAAAATTTCTCAATGAATCATTTGTTACTGGTAATGGTAAATTACTTTCAATATGTTTCCTAGAAAATCAAAAAACAAAAAAAAAAAAAGAAATCAAAATAAATTTTCTTGATTAAATCAAAATAACAAACATCATTGCAGTTAATTGATTTTCTGAATGTTCACGATGTAAAATAAATGAACTATTAAAATTTAAATCCGATGAATTCATTGTCGTTTCATACCATGTATCTAAACTTGGTAATGATTGAATACCTGTTTCAGATAGAAAACGAGTTATTGGATATGTTGTTGGATCCCATGAATCATCTTGATATCCATAAAAATGAACATCACCTAAAAAATTCGTTTTAAGAAAGAAAAAAAATAAAGCAAACTTTATTCTATTTTTATAATCTATACCATAAAGTGGATCTTGAGGATCTTTAGCAATATAATTTTCAACTATTGTTTCAAGACCATTTGATGGTGATGAAGTAACAAATGGTCGATTATTTCCTTTATCAACTTGTTTAACAGCATTCATAATTGTATCAACATATAATTTTCTATAATCATCTTTTGTTTTATTCATTTTTTCTACTGGTACACTATACCAATTTTGTGCAACAGCAGCTTCATTTTCATTATTACCTGACCAAAGTGCAATAGATGGATGATGTTGAAGTCGTTTAACTTGATAAATAATTTCATCATGAACATTTGTTAAAAATGATTCATCAACAGGATAACTAAATTTTTAAATATAAGAAAAAAAAAACAAACAAATAATTTAAATAAACTTACAGACTACAAGCAAACATAAAATCATGCCATAACATTATACCTAAACGATCAGCTATTTCATAAAATGAATCACGTTCATATATTCCACCACCCCATATACGTAACATATTCATATTAGATAATTGAGCTGAACGAAGTAAACGTTCAAGTTTTTCATCACTAACACGTTCTTGAAATGAATCTGGTGGTATCCAATTACTACCTTTTATAAATATAGGTTGAAAATTAATAGCAAAATAAAATGATGATCCATTTATTCCTGTTCCATAGTCATGTTGAATAAGTTGAACTGTACGAAAACCAATTAAACGTGAACCAATTATATTGTCTTCATTTGATATAACTAAAGTATACAATGGTTGATCACCATATCCATTTGGCCACCAATGTAATACTTGTTCATCTGGTATTGTTAAAAATATTGATAGATTATGATTAAGTGTTACTGTAGTTTCATATGACCATGTTGTATCGTGTAATATAAATTTGAATTTACTTGTAAATTGATCATTATTACTACTCAACATAACATCAACTTGCCAAGTTTTATCTACTGCATTATATGACGCAAGATTAACACTTTCAAGTTCAATAATTATATCTGTTGTATTTACACCTTCAAGATATATATTACCTGGAATACCAATTGGAGCAAAAGCTGGACCCTAGAATAGAAAAATATATTCAAAAATAAATAAATAATTGCTAGTAATAAATACAAATCATGTCTTTAACAATGAATATTAACATATCTATCGGATAATTTAGTAACAGCTAATAATCATTGAACTTCATCTCAAATTTGCTTGTCACGGTTTGTGCACTTTTTTTTTAATGTATTTAATAAAGTAATTGAAAAGGTCATTTAAAATTTCATCCTATTACGGTCATATAAATATAACTTAGATACAAAAAAAATATAATACTGATAAGAACCGATTAGCAAGTAAGAATCGAAATGGAGAAAGAATCAAATAGACAATGAAAGATGTAATTACAATCTATTAATAGATAAGATTGTATCCAGTCAGAATGATAAAAAAAAATCATTTTTCAACTTTCAATGCAAAAAAATCATGACAAGCAGACGGATAAATCCAATCTCTAATTCATCTTTAAATATATTGACAAATGACTACAAATTTAATACCAGAGAAGTCCCACAACAGATTAATTACTTTTGATTCTGGATATTTTAAAAAGAATTTGAGTCCTTAACTTATTGCTGTGTATACAGTAGTTTTTAAATGAATACCGTAGTTACCTTCAAGAAAAAACTCATTTTCGAATTTCGACTTGAAACTTTGCATAGAGACAGTTCTTAACGAGAGTAGTTCATTGTAAAAGTTTTAGATCATTTCGTTTTTCCTATCTTAAGATACAAATTCAAAGACCTAAAACTTTCACAATAAACTATTCTTGTTAAGATCTGTCTCTATACAAAGTTTTTAATCGAAATCTGAAAATGAGTTTTTCCTGAAAGGTACTACGGCATTTATTTAAAAATTATTGTATACACAGCAATAAGTTTAGAGAACAAATTCTTCTCAAGGTATTCATAGTTCACTAGAATGTACATACTACAGACTCTATATCGATTAATCTGTTAAGGAACTTTCCTCGTTATCGTAAGCTGTTCAATCAAATTTAAACATCGAATTTTCATTAAATCTTTACAAAATTTGAATTCATCTTAAATTCTATGAAGTAAATATTTTCTATTACTTATGAAAATATTCATTTGATCTTTACATATATAAATTCTTACCCAATCCCAACTAAATGAACATGGTTCTTTTCGAATAAATTGTACATGACATTCACCATTTTGAACATTAGGTGTACATAGTGGTGGTACTGTGTCATTATATGCATCAGCTTGTTTTAATGCATAAAGAACAGGAGATTCAAAATCAATTTGAATTTCATTTTCAAATTTTAAACATGAATTTGTTATATTAAATATATATGGTATAAACATACTATTAGTTCTACCAATAGGACATGTATTTAATGTTATATTAGCAACTGTATCAATTTGTTCGAAATGTATTGTAATTTGATTTGAAGCAAGAAAATCTGAAGTTAAATTAAATTTTTTTGTAAATATCCAATTAGTATGTATTAAATAACGTAAATCAACATCATTATAATCCATATATGGTTCAGGAATTTGATTTGCAGCTAAAAGTATTGTATGAATTGTACCAGGTATAGTACCTTGTGCTGTATGATTTATTTTATTAGTTATTGTCCAATCATTACCAATTAATGAAATACGATTTGAATTTGATGATGAAATAAATAAGACGAATAAAAAATATACTAATTGTTGAAACATTTATGAAATTTATTCAATTTCTAATTCGAATAAATGAAGATGTAGAATTTCAAATAAAAGTATAAAGTTCACTTGCACAGGTCTATATATAAAAATCTTATCAAAATAAATGATATCTTTTCTTTTTTAGATTTCGTGGTTGTGTCGTTTGGTTTTTTTTTCTTGATATTTTTTTCAAGTTTAACTTCTTCTAGAAGAAATAGAATAATTGATATCAATGATAAGATGGTGTTAATATCTATATACCTCTAAGAAATTCTTCAAAAAAAAAAAAACTTTATCTTTATTGTTATCACTTGTCGAATTGCTGATGTTCAATGAATTTATCTAAAGAAAATTTCGAACATTGAAATATTTGATTAATTGATTAAAATGAAAAATAGCAATTTTATTCTATCATAATCTGCTTTCATATTTAAGAATTATCAAGAAGTGCATAAATGCTCAGGGAGGTCTCGAGATCATCAGGATTGACCGTTGTTTTTTTTTTCGAGGATCGGTAAAATAATAAAAAAATTGAAACTCCACTGAAGGAAAGCGAAAATTTTTCAAGATTATGAAACCTATTGTAAAAAGCTTAATATAGATTTAGTATAATACAACACATTATATCGTTATTTATCTTGAAGTTAACCATGACGTATGCGTGTATTCTATTCAACAGCATAAAATATAACCTACCTTTTGATCTGTTGATAAAAATAAAGATAAAAATCGACCAACAAGACAAGATACAACTTAGAAATATAACATGCTCGGTTGTTTTTCTTTTTTGAATAACACCACAATGCAATTAGCTAGAGACTTAAAATTTCTATTTTACTATAATAATTGTCCGAAACTACTGAAAAAAGTTTTATAATAACAAAAATTTGTAATTTCTCTTTAAAATAGGATAACTTTAACATTTTATCTTGTTTAAGGGTATTGTCTATCTATAACATATGAATCAATTGTCTTCCTAAGTTAAACCTCAAGAATAAGAATATTTCATTACAAATTCAATCAAATTTGAAGACGTAAGTACCTGATACTCATCCATTAATTTTTACATAAACCGCAGATCTCGGACTATTTGCATTGTGAAGTTAGTCAAAAGCTAATAGAGTACATTCAACTTATAAAAGAGTAGCAGCAGGCCTCGAAATGGACTGCCCGGCCCGACGATTTTATTCTTTTTTTCACATAACTTTTTCTAAGATTTGTCTTACTCCTGAAGAGGGATAGGAGGAAGTTTCTCCACGCTACCTTCCTTAATCATAACTTTTTATAAAAGCCGAAAAATATGGAATAACTGTCTATTGAGAAAAAAAATCTCTGTAAACGAAGGTTCTTTCAGGCCATAAAAAGTGGCCCGATTTCGAGACCTAGGTAGTAGTTATAATATCTCATGTGTGAGGAATAGTCATTTGAAAATTATTCAAGTATCGAATTATAAAAAAAAAGAGATTTCTGTTTGTACAAGAACAGGGTTCCCGATTAGGGGGGAGGGGCTTCCCCCCAAAATTTCAGACTTTCTGCGACAATTTTAAAGTGCAGTTCAGCAGAAAGTCAATGTTATTTCTGCCAAACCTCTTGCAGAAAGAAGACTTTTTTTTACAAAAAAAATATCGACTTTCTGCGAAAAAAATTATAGACTTTCTGCCAAATTTTTAGCTCCCCCCGCCCCCCACTCCCAAAAACAATCGGGAACCCTGTACAAGAATTATTAATTTCATTTGGAGAAAAATAAAACAATAGTTCTACTATCGGAATTTTAAAAGAAGGTACCTGGAAAAAAAGCTTATAACTTTCGAACGAAAAGTCATAGTGACCTGCGGTTTTCAGCAATCGATAGAAGATTATAGGGGGGCACATTTTTATATAAAAATCAAGGTTTAAATAATCGATGATTGTGGAATCATTGAAAGAGTAGGCTCGTTATTTGGTGAAATCTCAGCAGAACAAGTTGAAACTTTCAGCCTATATAGGTCCACTGTACCCTAATCTTCGCTGAAAATATCATCGATAAATCTTGTAATGACGAGGAATGGTGAGCCAATCATCATCTGGCCTTACATAAGACTTTCATTCACTCAAGATATTAGGAAATGGCCCCAACTTTTGGCTGAATAAATATTATAATCTAGACTTCATATCTATGCAAAAGCATCGCACTTTGATCGTAAATATGTACGGAAATAGCCAAAATTCGACGAAGAAATGATTTTCATACAGTAAGTATTTTAAAACAAATCTTTCCAACTTTCTTAAGAGAAATGCAGAATTTAGTAATATTTTCATCGTCTCTTCTCGTTCATTTAATCAAACTATGATATAATTGCATAGATATGAAGTCTACAGACTTGATATTTATTCAGCCAAAATTTGAGGCCATTTCCTAATATTTTGAGTGAATGAGAGTCTTATGTAAGGCCAGATGATGACTGACTCACCATTCCTTGTCATTACAAGATTTATCAATGATATTTTCAGCGAAGATTTGGATACAGTGAGGCTATATATGCTGAATGTTTCAGCTTGTTCTGCTGAGATTTCACCAAATAACGAGCCTACTCTTTCAATGATTCCACAATCACCGATTATTGAAACCTTGATTTTTATATAAAAATGTGCCCCCCTATAATCTTCTATCGATTGCTGAAAACCCCAGGTCGCTATGACTTTTCGTTCGAAAGTTATAAGTTTTTTTTCCAGGTGCCTTCTTTTAAAATTCCGATAGTAGTTGTGAGTTTTTGATATGTAAGAGATAAATTATTTATGAGAATAATATAATTATACTCTCTCCCACTTCAATACATAGAATAATACTTACTTTATATTAACAACGAATGATATTGATTTACTACTCGTATATATATATATATATATATGATTATCTGATACCCCGGTTCCTTTGTTATTTGAAGTAAGAAAATGAAGAACACTGAAAAATGACTATAATATAATTATAAGCCTCTTTTGTAAAATGATATTTTATCTATTTTTAAATTATGACACACACACACACACTTTTCAATTTTAACATTTTTTTGTGATGATAATTGTTTTTTTTTATTCTTGAATACAAAGAACATTAACTTATTGTCCTAGCATAATGAAAATGAAGATATGAAAAATATTTTACCAATTTTTAAGTAAAAATCTTGAAACAAACTATCGAGAAGAATACATCTGTATTAATAACACTGAAATATGAAACTTCTATTTTATTCTAACAACGTTACGTTGATAAAAAACCATTTTTCAATTTGCTCTACCTAACTTCACTAGCAGATTTGTTTTATAAGTTAAAATTACACTTATAATCCAAAATTTTAACAAAAATCTTACACAGGACAAAAGATTTTACTAGTAATTATGAAACTACATATCAGTACTAATGATATTATTTCTTAGCAAATGACGAAAACTTTTAAAATATTTCAAATTTTAAAATTTTGAAGTAAAACATTCGAAATAAAATCTTATATGTCATAGAAAATAGTTATTATTATAATAAAACTTTATAACGAACAGATGTGTCATACTTAAAGAAAAAAAGCCAACATATCATTTTACAAAAGAGAGCTTATAATTTAGATTATAGTCACTTTTCTCATTTCAAATAACAAAAGATGAAAGAAAGAAATCTGAATATCAGATAATCATACATCTATATACGAGTAGCAGCAGATCAATCTCATTTGTTATTAATACACGATGAGCATTATTCTCTATATTCAAGTGTAGGAAACTCTTTGACCCTGTAGAAATCATAAGAAAAATTTTTAAAAATCTTTCAAATATCAAACCATAGAATTATACTCATTATTTGTTTTTTTACTCATTAGACAATACAAAAAAAAATCCTATGTATACAAACAATAACATTATATAAGAAAACAAAAATATACTATATATTTGTCTTTTTTTCTTTTTCTTCTTTGTTGATTCAAAATGAATACAATCTGATCCTAATGAAAATACAAAATAACCATCATCATTTTCAATTTGTTTTTGTTTCCACATCTTCCTATTTTGATAAAGAATTTAATTTTGTTTTAAATCTAATGGTGTTGAACCTAAAACAAAAAAAAAACAAGACATTTTTTGATATTCAACCAGGTAATAACTAACTATACTGAACTTTCGACTGGAGATTTTTGTTTTTTTTGTTCGAAACAGATCGTGAGTTAAAAAGAAAACGACAAAACTATTTCCTCGTGATATACACAAGGCAGCAGTGAATGGATTCCGTGAGTTCTGAGCTCTCGAAAAGATTTGGATTTCGATTCTCTCCACACACACATAGCGGCACTTATATTTGAATATCTACGAAAAAGATTTGGTATCCCAAATTTCTAAATCCATAGATTGAATTTATTATTCTTGATGGTATAAGGGATGACACTTTATCTTTATTTTACTCTGAAAAAGTAAAGTACACAAACAACATATTTCATATTTCGATAAAAAAAACAAGATCTTATAAGATGAGTATGAATTAGTACATAATACGAATTATGTTAAGCAATAAAATAAGTACTAGTGATGAGTTCGCCGCCAACTTTCTTAGTAATGTGAGGAATGACGCAATGTTGTAATGACAAGTTCAGTATTAATGCATCATCTTTATCCATATTTATTAGAAAATAAATAAATTCAATTATCAATTGTTTACTTTGTAATTCAATATTATTAAGTAAAAGTTTTTGTACTTCTTCTCATGTTATTTTATATGTTACTTTAGACATATTTGTAAGAATATCTATTAATACTTTAACATTACATTTGTTTTAAAATTTTTAGCATCTTTCTAAATAAAATTCAAATGAAAAAGTTAGAAAAACTCCATCATATGACAATACCTATTGAAGATGGTATTAAACCAAATGGCGATACAATCATTAGAGAAGGTAGATTAGAAGTAATCGATGATGCCACAAAACAATTACTATTTGAAAATAAAATAAATGAAAACTGCAATTACTTCGTTGTAGATATCAATAAAGAAAAAA